TGGTAAAGGAATTCCTATCGAAATACATAAGGATGAAAAAGTCTACGTTCCCGAATTGATCTTCGGCCACCTTTTGACTTCGTCGAATTATGATGATAATGAAAAAAAGGTTACGGGTGGTCGTAATGGATATGGTGCAAAATTAACAAATATTTTTAGTACTGAATTTATTGTGGAGACGACTGATACGACTGTTAAAAAAAAGTATCGACAAATATTCAAGGATAATATGAGCGTTAAACAAAATCCAAAATTAACTTCGTACTCAAAGAAAGAAGAATATACGGAAATAACTTTTAAACCAGATCTTGCAAAGTTCGGCTTGACAGAATTAACAGACGACATTGTCTCATTGTTAAAAAAACGTGTATTCGATATGGCTGGATGTGTTAAGAATGTAAAAGTCTTTTTGAATGATGAAAGAATTAAAATTCGAAATTTCAAGGAATATATTCAAAAATATTTACCACCTCCAAGTCCATCTGAAGATTCAACTACGAAACCATCAGATGTAATACATGAACAAGTTAATGAACGATGGGAAGTTGGTTTCACTCCAAGTCAAGAAGGTCAATTTCAGCAAGTGAGCTTTGTAAATAGTATCGCTACTACAAAAGGTGGTACACATGTTAACCATGTTGTTGATCAGCTGGTTACAAGAATCATGGAAGCTGTCAAGAAAAAGCAAAAAGATGCTAAATTAAAACCATTCCAGATTAAGAATCATATTTCCTTATACATTAATTGTTTAATTGAAAATCCGAGCTTCACCTCTCAGACTAAAGAATTTATGAGTTTAAAGGAAAAATCATTTGGTTCATCTTGCATTATTAGTGAAAATTTTATAAACAAAGTTTTAAAGTCTGTAATTATCACGGATATTATTGAAGAAGTCAAACAGAAACAGGATAGAGAATTAAAGAAAACAGACGGTGCAAAAAAGTCCAATGTTCTCTCTATCGAAAAATTGGAAGATGCTGGTAATGCTGGAGGCAAATATGCACAAAACTGTACTTTAATCCTTACAGAAGGTGATTCAGCTAAATCTCTTGCTGTGGCCGGAATTTCTGTTGTTGGTCGTAAAAACTTTGGTGTATTTCCACTTCGTGGAAAGTTATTAAACGTTCGTGATGCATCACATTCATCAATAATGAGCAATGAAGAAATTCAAAATATCAAGAAAATTCTTGGATTACAACACAATAAACAGTATACATCCACAAAAGATTTACGATATGGTCATCTTATGATTATGACTGACCAAGATTATGATGGAAGTCATATTAAGGGGCTTATTATTAATCTTTTGGATCACTTTTATCCTTCCTTGTTGAAAATTCCCGATTTTTTACGTGAATTTATTACACCTATTGTCAAGGTATAAATGTTATATTATAATTTGGTCGTTAAAATTTCAAATTTCTAATTTGTTATTTATATATATATTAATATATTTATTTAAAGTGTACCAATAATCGAACCAAAGAAATAATTTCATTCTATACGATCCCGGAATATGAGCAATGGAAATCATTAAATCAGGACGGAAAAGGCTGGTCCATAAAGTATTATAAGGTAATTATATTTTATTTATTATATTATTATATATATATATATACTGACGTAATTTGTTTTGTGGATTAATATATGTATATTTAATTATTTAGGGATTGGGAACTAGTGAAGCTAGAGATGCGAAAGAATATTTTAGTGATTTACCAACTCATATGAAACCTTTTCGTGAACTTCAACAAGACGAACGTTCACTAATAGATATGGCATTTAATAAAAAAAAGGCAGATGCTCGTAAAGACTGGTTGCGAACTTATCAACCTGGAACTTATATGGATCACAGTGTTGACGAAATTACAATAACCGATTTCATTAATAAGGAATTGATATTGTTTAGTATGGCAGATAACGCGCGTTCAATACCTTCAGTAATTGATGGATTCAAACCTGGTCAACGTAAAGTTATGTACGGTTGTTTTAAGAGGAATCTTACCAAAGAAGTGAAGGTCGCTCAATTAGCGGGATACATCTCCGAACATTCGGCTTATCATCATGGCGAACAAAGTCTTACATCTACTATAATTGGCCTGGCTTATGACTTTGTTGGATCTAACAACATAAATTTATTGCAACCACGAGGTACATTCGGTACAAGGGCCCAAGGTGGAAAAGATGCTGCAAGCGCTCGTTACATTAATACAGCACTCCAACCAATCACACGGTTAATCTTTCATAAATCAGATGATAATTCATTGAAATATCTCAATGATGATGGTCAATGGATCGAACCAGAATGGTATTGTCCAATCATACCAATGGTGCTCGTGAATGGATCAGAAGGTATAGGAACAGGATGGAGTTCTTATATCCCAAATTATAATCCTATGGATTTAGTTAAAAATATACATCGTTTAATGGAAGGTAAAGAACAAGAACCAATGCATCCTTGGTATCGTGGTTTTAAAGGTGAAATTAAGCCATTGGAAAAAGATAAATACACAAATAATGGCGTGATTGAAAGAATCTCTCCTACAGAAATAAAGATTACAGAATTGCCCGTTCGAACTTGGACGCAAAATTATAAAAAAGATTTAATCGATAAGTTTATGGGATTTATAAGTAAGTTTGATGAAGAACACAAATCTCATACTGTAGAATTTCATATTTCATTGAAGGAAGAACTTGCTGACCTTAGTGATGAGGAACTTGCAAAAAAATTTAAGATCATTTCTACTATTCCTATATCAAACATGGTTTGTTTTGATCCGGAAGGACGCTTGAAAAAGTACCAAACTCCTGAAGATATTCTTCAAGAATTTTATTATATTAGATTAGATTTGTATTCTAAAAGAAAAGATTATTTGATAGCCGAATTAAGACATGAGTGCCTTAAGCTAGCAAACAAAGTTCGTTTCATCAACATGAAAATAAAGCACGAACTTGAATTTGAAGGATTGAGGAAAAAATCCATAATAGAATTACTAGAGGCTAATGGCTTTGACAAGGTTCATAAAAGATCTATTATAAAACGTAGTTTAGAAGAAACAAATGAAGCGGATGAAGAAGATTCAAATGATAGTGGTTATAATTACCTTATGTCAACACCTGCTTGGGCTTTCAGTAAAGAAGAGGTAGCGTATATATCATAAATCTATGCGAATTTTGATTTTGCATCAAAACTAAACGCTGACATTTTCATTGACAAATTTGTCCTTTAGTCAGAAAGAATTAGTTCTTTGAAGAATGAAAAAGAAAAAGAATTAAGGATTCTTGAAGCAAAACCTCCTAAAGAGTTTTGGAAGGACGATTTAAAGGCATTTGAAGAGCAATGGAACGTAAGTATTATTGATTATATTCGTTCGTGTTTACACAATTTAAATTGTGTAATTAATAAAGTTGCCATTTTAGAATGATTTGACCGAGTTTGAAGAAAATATGAACGCCGGCGGAGTAGTAAAAAAGAGCAAAAAAAGAGTAACGAAGCCAAAAACTACCGAGGTGGTTAAAAAGGCGGTTAAATCGAGTTCGAAGGCAGATGATGTTTTTGAAGTAGACGATGACGATGTTGAAATAGTGTTCAAACCAAAACGAAAGAAATTAACTAAAGTCTAGCTTCATTACTATGTATCCCATTTCGGCTAATAGTGTCAAACTCAAAACTCAATTCATTAAATAAATATTCAGCATTTAATAGAATAATCTTTAAATTATTCAGATTCTATCCATGTTTAAAGATTGATAATTTGATGTTTATCAATTAAATATAGTTAAGCCAATGACACGTAAAAATTTTGTTTGAGTGTTGCCAGGTAATAAACAAGCAGAATTCATATTCATCGTTAAAACTTAGGAAGAAATTGATTGTCAGATAATATCAGTAGTGTTTATAGTCGATTTTGCATTAGTCGATAAAATCGGCTCAGCCGGCTTAGTCAGCCGATTTTTCAAAAAATCGACTCAGTCGACTAACAATAGGTTATATATGTTATATTAAAAATTTGGATCAAATATAGTATAGCGGACACCATCAGCAAATTTTCCGAAAGCCACATCATGTGATTATGTGATGTGGCATTAGTGGCTTGGTTTTGTATATGCCACATTAGCCACTCACATGATCACATGAAAGAATTGAGTAACTTATGCTCATGTAATATCAGATATGTACGATATGTACAGTACGTATGTATGTATACACATATGTACGACATATACTGTGAACTCAAACCTTTAGTTATTTATGATTTTTTACATATCGATATTACAAGTTGCTGTATGCAAAATGGAGAAAGTTTGCTTTGCTTTCTTATTATATATATTGTTTTAGAGATCACTTTGTTAACAATGATTATACTTACAATAATATAAAAGATTTAACCAATTGCTATATTATAAATCACTTTCAATTAATTTATATCTTACTATATAAATTTCTTATTTTTTACAATAAATTACAATAGACATTAGCGATAATGCCAATACAAACTAACATAACACAAGCTTTTTGCCTAAATTTTTACAGTAAATTATAATAGACATCGATGATAATGACAATACAAGATTAACTGCAGGTGTGGCGACTTAGTGTAGTTGGTTAGTTGTCATCCTTCCAAGCGGCAGGTCTAGAGTTCGAATCTCACAGATGACGATTTTGAAAAATGGATTTGCATACAGTTAACGGTTATCGATTATTGGTTGGATTTAATTTGTAATCTCGATCACACTATCTAGTAATGGGAGCTTTGGTACAATAAATCTGAGAAACCAGAATAACCGAAAACCCAGTTGGCAAGTCCCGAGTTGGGATATAGCAATGATCTTCAACAGTATCACAGGAGGGCTAGATTCAAACCGGGGCCCGAGATCAGAGAACCGAGCGACCAGGTCCTATGGCGGAAGACATACCAGCCGAACCGCCGAGTTGTCGCACCAGAGGAAAAGGGCATACACTCCGAAAGTATGGACCAAGAGAAGGGCATCCTTCAGGCACCTAAAGCCTAGGCAGACCGACCCATTCAGGTTGCTGGCTAGAAGTAAAGAAGGGACCGATAGAGAATCCGGGTAAGGAGACGGTTCCAAATGTGGGTACTGGAGTTGTTGGGAACCTTACAAGTCATAAGAAGACATTCATATGATTGGTTAATTTTGTCGATCTACCTGTGATTGCCTGTAATAATTAACCAATCAAATTACATAATTTTTTTAAACCGTTTATCATTTTAATACTAGAAAACGAAGAAAACTTTGCTTAAAGAAGTTTACAAACCAATAAATTATATGTGAAGAACTTATCGCATAAAGTTAGAAAACAGATAGATATGCGTAAGTTGAATGAATGAATATAATATTTATTATTAAATACCTAACTTATAAAAAAGTTAATACATGAATAAATTATTAACAAAACTATCTTTATTATCTTTTGAAAAAATCAAAGTAATTTGATTTTATTTCATTATCATGACCTTTATTAGAGGTACAACACGACCTTTAGCCTATATAATTAATGAAACAATAATACTCATATATTGTAAATACTATCAACCTACTACTTAACCCGAAGTTACTAATGTTTTACTCTATAATATTCAAACTACATAAAGTAAA